TGAAATCCCACACAAGTACGCATTGCGGACCTATTTTTTTGCAATTGTGTCCGTGGCATTTTTCATCTTTAACAACACATCTTTGTCTTCTGTTGCAAGGAGAGAAAAATCAGGTTACTTCAAGTAAACATTTAATAAAGTGGTATTTTTTTTTGTGACCATCGAAGGTCTAGTTTTCATGTGAATTGTGAAATGGCTTTTTCATCCTCATGAAATGAAACATGATTTGGTTAAATAGCATGATCAGACTGCGAATCAACTTTTTTCTCATGCATATTGCAAATGACTCTTGTTTTTACATGTAAACTTACATGTGACCCCATGTATAAACCATGAACATTTTGTTCTTCCCACCCAAAAGTTTCTACAAGTACAGTAAGCATTTGAAAACAAGACTATGTGTTGCAAATTGTGTGACCGGTGCATGACCGTGACTGATTGTCATTGTGGACCCCAGGTCACTCTAATCCATCAGGTAAATTATTTAACACCTTTTACCTTACAAAAATAAACTTTCCCTGACCAAATAAATACGAAATGTCAGAATAATAGCAGCCTCCAGCATCCACTCCAAAAACAAAACTCAACCCCGAGATCGCATTGACCTAAAATACTTCTTCCTCTTATTAGTGGTATTAAATCAGCTGTGATATAATTTTAATTTTTCTTGACTTTTTTTTTATAATGTCAATTTTCCATGACTCAAAAATTCCCTGACCAGCTTTAAGAAATTATATTTTCCCTGACCTTTTTCTGACCTGTGCCAATTGACCCTGCTTTAGCAATGAGCAAAGGAAATTGATGAATTTGACATCCAGGGATAACAGGGATGTTAAAAAATTTACTGTGGGTGATGTAGGACTACAAATATAATTTGCTGACATAAATATGAGGCACGTGGAAAAATAGACATTCAAAAGGTTTGGGAAGTCAGTTTTAGTTTGGATAATGCTTATTGCGATTTTAGGTATAAAAACTTACCACTCTCACCAAGCAACCAAACAGGAGTAGTATTGTTTGTCAAGGTACACAGCTTTAACTAAACCAGTGTCCTCCTTTATCACTTGGTTTTCGGTCACAATACTTTTAATGTTATCCTCAAGGAATTGAACAAGAACATAATCTACAAATGAAGGTCAGTAAGATATAATATTAACATCTTTAAGCGATATTTTAAATCTTTCTAAGCTTTACGGCAAATGAAAACAACTACCTAGTAAGCTAGGCTTATTGATTTAGCTTCGTGTTTTGGCGCGTAGACATTATAATAAAAAAAACGACTTGTGTATACAACTGTAGCAGTAGAACTTACTCATTTCGCCATACTTGACTGAAGGCGCTGTTTTTCTTTTGTTGCTCATATTGTACTTGGAGACAAAAGGAATACTTCAGGCATAAAATGTTCACGCAAATGATCTGAATAAATTACACCCTCTTTCCCTGACCTCTTTCTCAACAACTCGCCAAATGACTCCTTCGTTTTGCCCGCCAAAACCGTATAACCATATATGAATGTAAGATGTCCCGTATTCGACCATATAAGGTATCACGTGGCATCCCGTATGTGATCCCACAGTACTGTATGTCAGCAGTAGTCTATTAAATAAATGTAAACATGCACGAGTTGGATAACGATAAAAGTGACTCAAACGAGAGCATTTCCACTCATTTTACGCCTTCAGCTGCCTGTAAAAAGAAGCGTAAACCACGCGGGCCTTACAACCAGTATCTTTCTCAGCCAGGAGCAAAGATACCACAAACAACTTTCAAGAAGTGGCCAGATAAGAGCACCGCGATTGCTTCTATTTCGGCGGGTGATCTTTGTAGCACAAGTTCACAGACAAGATCAGGGCAACTGAGATCAGGCACTGCCTGTAACGGCTCTTCCACTAATACCAAATACACAGAGACGAGTTCTTTTGGATTATCACACAGTTTGTTACATCAGAGTGGTATTACGTCTAAAAGCTCTTTGGTTCAATGTGAGGAACTCGATGAATTCCCATGCCCGTATGGCGATGACAGTGACCAATCTTTTGAGACTCCAAGTGATAAGTTAACCCTCGTAGAAAGTGACGTTGGAAAAACTCCCAAGGTCACTGAGTCTGAACAAGCCACGATAGATGCTGTTGAAGGTGATCAAGAGGACGTTGAAGAATACTTGGATGCTTTCGACCCTGACGAAAGTGCTGGTGGAGTAAACGCGGATCAGGAAGAGAGGCAGTTTGAAGATGTTCCCTTGTACGATGGAGCACCAATCAGTATGGCAGTCAGCATGTTACTTATCGTTACATACGCTGTTCGACATAGTTTAACCGGACTTGTGCTTGTTGATCTATTATGCGGGTATCAGCGGCCATCCTGAGGGGTCGACCCCCCGAGGTTCCAAACCCCGATATTTTATTACAATAAATAACGGATGAAGGTTATGACAAAATCCATGGATATGGATCGGAGATTCGAAATCTGTAAAGTAATGCATTAACAAATTAGTTTCAGTTCATATCGATAATATCAAAAGAAATCAAGGTAAATATTTACCCATTGGTTCTAGGTGTCCATAACACTGTCTAGCGATAGAAAATCTTAACAATTATATCTGTTACGTCATCAAATTATAATGCGCAAAGAAATTAGAATTTTGCGCAATACACGGGCACCCAGGGGCATTTGTCACAGCTGCCGTGACAAATACATGCTAAAGCCCCTCGGGTAGGGCAAAAAATTGGGACAAATACCCCCACCCCTGGAGCAACCTGGGCAACATATAGTCGGTGTTGCCTGTTCCTCAATGCAAAAGTACGAGTGATCATGGTTTACTGAAGCCACATCAGCACTAAAATCCACACAAGTCTCTATGGAGTCCTAAAATTCGAGCTTTCTGGGGCAAACTTTCTTCGCTTGCGGTTGTTCATCACACTGTCTCTTCCTATTGGCAAGACGCTTCGAATGCGAACTAACCGTATGAAATTGAAATCTCGATGTAGCTTTCCTTAAAATGCAATGAACAGATTCTTGGATCGCCAAGTGTCTGGAATTTTTTATCCGCTCACTTACAGAAAACCTCCCACTTCTTACGCTCATTTGGCCTTTTAGGAAAGGACAAATAAAGACGCCAAGATTTCCCGATTTGTCAAACACACATAGCTTTCCTTGCAGTGTTTGTTTTTATTATTCATGCCGTATTCCCCGGAGCCTCGCTTTGGTGTTAAAGTTTCGCCATCAGTCTCTCACGCTGAAAGATATCGAAATTGGGCTATTTCTGCAACGTTAACGTTATTTTCCCCCGAAATCATTGACACGCTTCAGACATTTTTGACACAGCCAAACATTTAATTTTATCTGCTCACTTATTTTCACATCAATCTTTCACCTGTATGGTAGATCGCTTTACTGTATTTTTCCCAAATTCTCTTTGTTTTCCGTCAGAACAATAGTTCTCAACATCAGCCTAGAGTTTAAATGAGCCGTTTTGGTATAGCTGACTTTAATTTCCTTTATTTAGAAAATTTCCCCCTTCTTTCGCGTTAATTTCCATTATTTGGAAGCAAATTTACCTTCAAATCGTGTTAATTTTAAGTCACGGTTATTTCCAATACGTTAATTAACACGAGTGTTAATTTCCTATAATAAGGTATACTGTTTTTAAATGCACCACCAAGCAAAGCGCACAAAGGATGAAAACCCACAAAATCAATTGCACTATGAACTACTTTTAGATGATTCAGAAATAACACTATAAACAGGAAATGATAGTGGTCTGCCCCGTGTGTATATAAAAAATCCATTGAGAAAGCTATTTATGTTTGTCATAAATCAAGGACAGATAACAAAATTCACTGTCAGGCTGGAAACCTAATTTGATCTAAATCAGCCTGCGTTGCAAGCTATGCTTTACATTACAAGTTCTAAGGATGAATTAAAGTAAGGTTTGCTCAATGACAATTGTAGCAAATAAAAGGGGTGTTTGTGATTTCCATTTGCCGTCCTTTTTTCTTGGATATCTTCACGCATGGCCCATGATACCAAATGAAGCATGACGGGCCTTGAGAATCACACTGAATCATGAACCTGAAAAATAACAAAAAATAGCATAAGTCAGCAAACAAAAATCACAACACCCAGTCCTCTGTTTGAGAAAAGTACAAAGGCAATCGAACAATATAAAGGAATAAACTATGTACAAGTTCAGGAACCATTAGGAACAATAAAAACATTCTTATTAGTCCTTATTCACAAAGTTAGTGAGAGAGCGCAACAAAACACGAAATACATTGAAAAAGTAGAATTGAAACTTGCAACACTAATTGCCTTATTTATGTTGTTGATCAGAAAGACTTACCCATGTTCTATATCTCTACAATAACACCAGAGATCTCCACCATCATCACTTTCAATTTCATCCTCTTGTGCAGCTGTTAAAAGAAATGTATATTCAACAATAAATAAAAGTTCCTTGCTCAAAAGACCAATTTCGAGATGTTAAAATTCATACTTGGCTCCGAGGCTCGGGGGGATAAAACAAAAGAAATGAATAATTCAATGCCGGACCTCAATGTGATTTCGATTGTTTTATTCCCCCAAGCCTCGGAGCCAAGTATGAATTTTAATATCTCGAAATTGGTCTATTAGATCTCCTTGCATGTAGTCATTTTATCAATTGGATACATTTTGAGGACATTACAATACAGCAGCAGCTACTGGCTCTTGATATGTAACCTTACCTTGGCGATCCTGTCTCTTCCTTGCTCTAGTTTTAGTAGCTTTCTTAGCCCCTGCCTTTCTTCTCTCTGATGTTAGGCCAACGTGTTCTACCCAAATACGAGCATCTTCAGCAGAAAGAAGCACCTGCTTGGCGATGTTTTCGTAGTCTGCCTGTGTCCACTCTTCATTTTTCTCAAACTTTAACTTGGCCGCTGATTCCAGCTGATCTTTTGGCGGGACAAATACACATTTCTCTGTCCCATTCCTTGCAACAAACTCAGCATGATCATTTGGGTTTAAATAATGGCCGGTGCAAAGGCCCTTGCATCTGTCACATGGCTGTCCCCAATAATGCTTTGGGTCTGGAACAGGAATGGGAAGATACAAAAGGGGTGGTCCACCGGCGTACCACACAGGCTCTTTATCAGGTTTACCTTTTCTGCAGACTGGGTGAATGCAGACATCTTTGTAGCATGGTAGGAGCTGGAATATATACTGACTTGGGAGCCCCTCCACCATGTGCCGATCTCTAAGCTGCCAAATTTCTGTGGAGTATTAAAAAAGGGCTGGGTTTTCTTCCTTGAGTTTTCTTTTGCTCTGCTGTGAACCCTTCAAAAATGCAATAAGGTGAGGTCGTCTGCTTTTGTAATTCCTTGCAAGATCACTCCTGTTGCCCTTAAAAAGCATTATGGACGAGTTTCCAAATGGCGCATTATTACACTTGCTGATATAAACATCCGTAGCAGCATCAAGATTTCTTTCAAGTTTTTCATAATCAATTGACCCATTCTTTCCAAAGTTGGATCCATGAATGGTTGACGGAATGAAGATATTTCCATGGGCTACAGACAAACATCCATTTTGAAGCTCAACTCTGTTTAGGTATGATGAGCCACTGCAGCGGGTGGTGACCAAGGTACACACTTTTTCCTGTTCCAAATGTCGCTCAGTCCACATAAATTGTACTTCTTCATGTGACGGACCTTCTTTGGAGAATGTCCCCCTTTCCTCCAGTTCTCTCCAAAAGTCACAATATGTTTTAAAGTTATTTATTTTCTCACTACCCGATCACATTGAGTACAACTCTCTAACTCGTCAATTTACGCGATTGTACATTCTTATATCAGCTCTAGTCTTAGTTTTTTGGTTACACAGGAATTTCCGGTCATTGTTGACTCTTACTGGTTCAATCACATGTACAATACAATGGTGTCAAGTTCGCCACGCCCTATAGTCACGCGACTTGATAACAATAAGTTTCCGACACTCTCCCCTCATATGGTTCGCTATCGAAGCATATGTCATAATATTTAAACCTATTTGAATCATGCGAGCGGTAACAAAACGATAATCAGTATAAAACTTTCCTCGATCAACATTACTTCCTATAAACGATTTCAGTGTTCACAGTTCAGGCCTTATACTGATGTTCTCAAAACAAAATAATTATTTGTCCACTTCTCATGGATCAGTTTTCACGAAGCACTAATTACTGTTCGCATCTCACATTGTTAATCATCCGCAACTTGTTTGATTTACTGTTCATAGTTCACATTGTTCAACATCTGCAACTTGTTTCATTTGCAACCTTGCTGCTGCTGCTGCGTCTCTTCTAGGGCGGAAATCCTGAGCCTGTGGGTTTAAGCGTGGATCTGCCACTTGAGTGCTGACGTCACACTCAAGTTCCAATGGGTACAAATGTTGTACTGGTCGTTCCAGCATGCTTTTGGCAGTTTTAAGTTGGACTGCGCGTATGACGCCGTCATTGCCAGGGTAAACTTCATTCACTATGGCCAGCGGCCATGTTCCACGATTCTTGCTGTCAGTTTTCACTATGACAACGTCTCCTTTCTTAGGTTGGAACTTGCTCACTGTGTGCGTCAGGTTGTGTCTTTCTCTTAGTGCTGTAAGGTATTCTCTTTGCCATCGACTCCACATTTTGTCCTTACAGGTTCGCAAATACTTTGCACGTCTCCTGATGTCTTGGTCTGTTATCCTCCAGGTCTCCTCTTCCGGTAACTGGTTTGTTCACTGGTACAAGAAGATTGAAGGCGTTAAGATTGGTAACTCGACGTCATCTTCCGCATAGCTCAATGGGCGGCGATTAATCTGCGTTTCAACGTCGAGTAACACCTCACTTAGCTCAGGCCAGGTTAGAGTAGCTCCACCAATAGTTTTGTACAGGGAGGATTTCACGACTCCAATTAATCTCTCGAACTGACCCCCCCACCAAGGGGCGCGGCTCAAGTTGAATTTCCAGGTAATTTCGTGTTGTTCAAGAAGACCCTGGAGACGCTCATACTTCTGTAACTGCCGTAGCCATTTCTCGGCTTTGATGAAGGTACCGCCATTATCTGAGTAGATGACCCGTGGTCGTCCGCGACGAGCGATGAAACGCTTGAGACAAGTAATGAAGTTGTCTGTCTCCAGGCTGGCCATTAACTCTGGGTGTATAGCCCTTGAAAGGCTACAAGTGAAGATAGCCAGATAGGAGTTCCCTTGACTTCTCTTTCCCTGTTTGTACTTCACTGGTCCAGCGAAATCTGTGCCGATGATTTCAAATGCCGCACCAACTGTGGTCCGATCTTCCGGTAACTGACCAGGAATTGGGTTTCTTGCTGGAGTTGCATTGAATCTCTTACAACCATAGCACTTGCTTCGGACCGACTTGACCAAACTTCGAAGTTTCGGTACCCAGTACCTCTCTCTTACTGCTGCCATTGTCAGTGCGACTCCCCATGCAGTGTCTCGCAATGAACTTGTTGGACCAGTTTTTCTGTAAACTTTTCACTGTTGGGTAGGTATATCGGAGTTTGCCCCTGTATCCGGCCGTGGCATGTCATCACTCCCTCTGCATTGGGTTTCAGGTTAAGTTGACCGCTAATCTGAGGGTAACCCGTGGTTTCTCTGTCTCGCCGTTGGACTTGCTTAATCCACCATCCACGTACATCTTCTATTTCTTCAGTTAGTAGAGGCCCGAGTTTCTTGTCTTTATGTTTGCAGTTATGAATGAATCTCTTTAGCCACGCGCCGACTCTCAAGGTCCGTCGCAAACTAGTGCGTTCCAGGAGTTCATCGAATTCGTCTGGTTCTGATTTGGTTTGTGCTAGGTTGAGCACTTCCCTAATGACTTTGGCCTCAACTTCTGATGCTGGTGAGGATCGAGTGACTGGGTTGATTGGCCACTTGGAGTTGTCTTGAAGCCACTCCGGTCCCTGTTGCCAAAGTGCTGAGTGTACTGGGGCGCCTCTGCTCACCAGGTCTGCTGGGTTTTCATCAGTGGGCACGTACCTCCACTCAACCTCATTGTGTAGTTGTATCTTGGCAACTCGATTCGCGACAAACTATTTATACTGGCCATTTCCCTTGATCCAATGAAGTGCGACGGTGCTGTCTAACCATCCGAACATCTTTGGGGAGGGAATGTTGTCTAGGGCGTTGCGTACGTTTACTAATAGATTGGTAGCCATGTGCGCTGCAATCGACTCTAGGTGCAGAATAGTCAGTCCCTGTTTGGCAAGTCGACTCTTGGCGACCACTAATCGTTGAGTGTTGCCTGATGGTTGACGTACAACTGCATAAACTGCCGCTCCTACTCCTCGTTCTGACGCGTCCCCAAAAGAGTGTAGTTCTCCTTCTTGTAATGCTTCTTGATAACTTGCTATCGATCACGGTACTTGCTGTTCACGAGGTAATTGTTGCTCCCATTTTTCCCAACGGTGTAGGAGCTCTCCGTTGATCTTCGTATCCCATTGTACTTTGGCCTCACACAACTCGCGATAAATCTGCTTAGCGGTGAGAGTTAACGGTGCAATCAGGCCTAAGGGATCATAAATCTTGGCCATCTTTCCCAGAATGCCTCGCTTGGTTGGCTGGGTTTCTTCTTCGGGTATTACTACTGACTGTTCTTCAGGACTGACGGTCAGGTTTGTATCTTCCTCTAGTTGTTTGACGTTGGAATGCCACTTGTGGAGTTGGAACATTACGTCGCTGAATATTTGAACGGCTTTATCTTTGCGCTGCCGGGCCTGGCTTGTATTTCGTCCACCTGTTAGTAAATCATCAACATATAAACTGCGTCGAAGCTCTGCGACTATCTCTGGTTCCCGTTCTTCCCATGCATCCAAGTGGGCTTCTATTACGCCACCGAGCAGAAAGGGTGATGGGGCTAGACCGAACAGCGCACATGTGAAACGTAGTGTCTCTAGCTTTCCGTGTTCACTTTTCCTCCAATGAAATCTTAATGCATCACGTTCACACTCCCGGATGAGTATTTGTAAGAAGGCCTTCTGGATGTCTGCGGTTACAGCTATGGGGTATGCTCTCTGTCTCACTAGTATGTCCCAAAGCTTGTTTTGCAATGGAGGGCCAGGATAAAGGCACTCGTTCAGCGACGGTGACTCTGGCGTTGCTCTTGCTGAAGCATCATAAACTATGTGCATTTTGGTTGTTTCAGCCGTTTCTCTAATCACTGCTTTGTGTGGAATGTAAAATTCCTTCCCCACGACTTCTACTGGTGCGACTTCAACTACGTTGTTCTGGAGTTGCTCTCTTATTATGCCATCGTATTCCCCGGTCAGATTACTGCGCTGCAGTTTCCTGGTCAAACTTGACAGGCGTCGTAAGCTTCCTTGTTTGTTTGTTGGTAGTTCTGCATGATTTCCTCGCCATGGTAGTCCAGTTTCATACCATCCTTCCGGTGAGCGTTGAAGTTGTTCCTTGAATTCTGCGTGCAGAAAGCTCTGGTCATGCTCTGGTGTGTCTGCAAGCCCCAGTATATCAAGCCTGCATAAGTCCTCATAGTCACTCTGTGATGTTTGGGTCAGCAGCATCGTGTTGTGGTCAAATTCTGATCCCGGGCTCATAATAAACCATCCCAGTTTAGTTTTCTCTGCCACCGGCTCTCCATCCTGTCCAATACTTGTGTACCAGTGTTCCGTACTTTGGATTTTCAATCGATAATAGCTCTGCTTTGTTGACCTTCATTAGCTTCACAGGCACCTGATAATTTCCGTCTAAGGATTCCACGACGGTGTCGTACACTTCTAGTTTGGTTACTTTCGAGCTGATTAGCATATCCACACGTCTTGTTTTCGTTTCACTTGGCTTTTTCTTTAGAAGATCCAACAGCTTTGCAGATGCATATGAACTCCCCGCTCCTGTATCTATCAACGCGCAACAGGTAATACCATCGACCTTTACTGTTAATACTGGCATGATTCCTTCATTGTTCTCACTGGCTGTCATCAACGTCTGCTTCCCGCTGTCTGTTTGTTCACTGCAATAAACGCACTTGTTTGGCTTACCCTCGCCACCTCATGCTTGGAAGAGCTTATTCGAGCGGTCACGTTTCGAATTAAATTGCTCTGACGTCTCTCGTTCTTCAACTGGGTTTCTTTTTGTCCACAGTCTCACTGCCTCTGACAACTGGGCGAAATTCCACTTCTCCCACTCTGGATCCATTCCTACTAGGTCTCCCCGAATCGCTGGAAGTTTATCCAGTGTCATGGGCACGTTTCCGTTAACCTCACTCAGTTTATTCATCGTTTCTAACGCTTGTACACAGTACGTCAATGTCTCACTAAACTCACTTATCCTCCTAGGGTTGGCGCTTGTGATGACGGGGAGGGCCATTATTTCTTTTATGTACGCCTTCGTTATTTCGGATTCCTTTCCATAGTTGCTTAATAGTATCGACTTGGCTCTATTGTAGCCCTCAGATGTAAACGGCAAGGCTTCCACAGAGGTTTTTACTTTCGATCCCAGTGGCCCACACAAATAGGTAAATTTGTTGATGGGTGCCACTTCTGCTTTATCTATCGTTTCTGTAAACTGGCCCCAGAACCTCGGCCAATCCAAGTAAGAACCTTCGAACATTTTTATCTCAATCTTCGGTAGCTTCGCTTGCGTTGTTTGTTTGGGTGACCCGCCCCCTTCGTGGCTCTCTTGCGTAGCAAGGTCGTTTTGGAGTTTCATCTTTTGTTCTTGCAGCTTCAACTCAAACTTGAGTTGTTCCTCGCGCGCATTCGTCTCTTCCTGGCGTCTTCTTTCTTCGAGCCATTTGCGAAGCTTCCCGACCTCTTCATCAGCTTTCATTAGTTGATGGTCAATCTCGGCATTCCACGTGGCTATGTCACCAAGATCTTCTTCTGCTTCGATTTTTAACGCTTCCAAAGCGCGCTTCAGTTCATCCGCCTCGGATATTGTAGACCGCAACGCTCCCGTGTGTCTCTCGATAGCCTGAATCGAGCACTTGTTGTGTTCGCTTGGCATGGATTCCCAGTTGTGTAAGCTTCGTTTGCAGTTTTCCCTTCGCGTTTTCCATTGCCGTCGGTTGCGTAGCTTTAAAGAAAATTCAGGACTAAATTATACTCACAGCCAAAGTTGATAGCGGTCCCGTCGGAGATGCCACGTTTGGAGAATGTTCCCCTTTCCTCTAGTTCTCTCCAAAAGTCACAATATGTTTTAAAGTTATTTATTTTCTCACTACCCGATCACATTGAGTACAACTCTCTAACTCGTCAATTTACGCGATTGTACATTCTTATATCAGCTCTAGTCTTAGTTTTTTGGTTACACAGGAATTTCCGGTCATTGTTGACTCTTACTGGTTCAATCACATGTACAATACAAAGGTGTCAAGTTCGCCACGCCCTATAGTCACGCGACTTGATAACAATACGTTTCCGACACTTCATCAGCTGCACCGTCTACTCGAATGCAATCTATTGGCTTGTTCTTCATGCAGGGCTTGAATTCCTGTTCATTCTCGAGCATAACAACATCTGCCGCATGCTGCAATGGATCTTTCGGGTACACAATGTGTGCTTTGACAATGCCTGCTGAGTATTGGGGAGTTGTTTTTGTACCTGGCACTAGATACGATATCACTTGTAATATGGATGCATATTTGTTGACATAGTCTGTTCTTGTTGTGACTTCTTGTTGACTTGCATCCGAGATTGCCTTATACTGCTTATGAGTATATGTGGTGTCTAATCTGAAGCCAGCTACGTTGTCACGATTGATAATACACTTGTCTCTACCATCTTCTAACTGTATCTCGTCCAGTCCTTTGTAGAAGGAGGAACTCCAGTGTGCATCTGGGTTTAGTTTGATGTTAAATCCTTTTCGAGCCCTTCTGCAAGTAATCTGTGCTGCACCCCAATAGCGTTTGGAAGATTGGCGCCTTTTGTTCCGGACAACAGTCAGCTGGACAATTGCCCCATAACTAAACTTTCTCTGATACTTTCTTTCTAGGTGTTCTTTGATTCTGCGGTATGTCACACGAGGCCCACTCTTAACGTTTCCATCAAAGGTGGCAACACCCGTTCTTCATGCATCTGCCCCAACTCGATTTTCATTTACGAAATCTTCAATATCTTTCCCAAGGTTAGGGAATTGCTTAAGTAGTTTTGAAGCACGTTTTGGAACCCTTCTCTTCAGTACACTTTTCTCTGCCACCAGCTTTAGAAACCTTCTCCTATCCCTTTTCTTCTGTTTTCTCTTTTCGTTTACCACAAGTGATTTCATCTTCTCAGTGAGTCCTTTACCCACATCCACCCAATCCTCTGGATCATCGCTCTCTGAATCAGACAACACATCATCATCTTCTCTTGCTACTCTTCTCTCTGTCATCAAGAATGCTTGCCGGGATTGTTCTACTAGTCTTTCTTCTTCATCAGACAAGTCACTGAAGGGCAGGAATGCTGCAAAATCCACAAGCACCTGGTTTAGGACCTCAGGGGTGTACATGTGAAGCAACATCTTCAATTCCCCCACAAATGAAAACCAATTGTGATTGTTTTCTCTGAGAAGCATCAGGAGGTGTTCATTGCCTGGTGCAGGGGAAACTGTGGCCATTCCTTTCATAATGACATCAGGGTCTAAGGCACTTCTGTTGGGTGGAACATTGGAATTCTGACCATTGTTTTCACTATCCACGTCATCGGGGCAGCCTGTGTCACTGCCATTTTCACTTGTTTCATCGTCACTTGATTCACTTTCGTCACTGTCACTTTTGGAATCATTACCACAAAATATACCAAGTTCTTCTAGGATGCAGTCCTCTTTTACATTTGACAAATGATCTACTGCATCACGAATCTCCCTTGCCTGTTCAATAGCATTTTCAGCAGTGTTCTTTAATAATGTCAGATCTGATATACCATACTTCTTTTTAGCTGCTTCTCTCGACATGTTACCACCACAACTCACTGCATACTTAATAAGCTTCTTGTCTTTCTCAGAAGAAGCAAGGTCACAGACAATCTTTAAAGTTTCCCTTGAAATGATGGGAAATTGAGTGTTACAATCTGTGGACACTGACACTGTCCTGCTGTATTGAGCTCTGTCACAAACAACTTTTTCTGACCTTTTTGCAATTCCAATGGAAATATTGCAACTGGCAGCTGCAATATTCGTCTTATGGCTTTATCAGACTTGTACTTGGCGCCTGGGGACAGGAAATGGGATGCAAAGAGACTCCTAAGGGGAACAATGCCACTATCATCAATTTGCTTTGCTGCATCAGTGAGGTTGGTGCATTCCTTGCATGAAACAAGATGATTCCTTTCACAGTGATCTTCTCGTGCCACAATGAACTCTTTTAAGGTCAGGTCAGTGATCAGGCTGTAATAAATTCCGTCCTCGGTGCGAGCAACATCAGACAGTGTACATGGCAAATACTTGGAATATCGGAGTACAGCATTTTCTTTGTGCCCCACAGACAATCCTATACGGTCCGTGGGGCTTTGAGAAAAAGTGGATCATCACTTTGTCCATCCTGGCTTGAGCTGTGTGGAGAACTCTGATAGTCAACAGCTGCCTCGGCACTGATGGAACTACATGATGTACTGCCTGCACTCCAACACTCACTTGGTGTACCTTCTTGCATGACAACGTCATGAACATCAACCTCACTGCTGGTGGATTTGGTTGAAAATACCCTACTTGAACTGGCAACATTTTTACTTGCACTGCAACACTCACTTGGTGTACCTTTTTGCATGACAGCATCATTGACATCGGCCTGGTGGACTTGGTTGAACTGCATGACCCAGATGAGGTAGACACATCACTTGTTCCTTTCGATTTACTAATGATAAACCTTTCCATGGTTTTCAGCTCTGCTCTGCCCTTGGCACTTTTTCCCTTGTGATACTTCATTGACCAAGCATCAGCCTTTTGAAGCTTACTAAGCTCTGCTTGCAGCTTTCTCTGTTTCCCTCGCCATTTGGTTATTTGGGAGACCACTTCAGCGGCTTGAAGGTACTTTTCGCCAGTCACAAACTTGCTTCTTTGAAGCTCTAACAACTTTATGGTATCTGTGGCACTTGTCATATCCTCCACCAACTCCTCAGTTCGTCGCTGACGTTGGTCAAACAGCAACTTCTGATGCTTTGCACCTTCCTTGGCCATTTTTTCATCACCGAACACTTTTGATCTAGATCTCTGTTTCTTGTAACTGTATCCACTGGAATCAGCCTTTTCTCTTGCTAACTCGAAGAGCTTTTTCCTATCTTTAAGGAGACTGACATCCTCTTCACAACAAGCTAAGGCACATCTGTTGATTGCTTCTTCATATTTGGAAAGTGTCCGGTTTTCTGAGCGACCGTATATTCTACTCTCTCTTTCCAGGACCTCTTTGTCTACCGTTACAGCCACATTTTTTGCATCTCCAATACCCCCCTGGCAACCCTTTAAAGTAAAGAAAATTAGAAATACCTTATCAATTATTAATAATGAAACACCTTTTTTATTATTATTAATACTGTTATACACTGAAACCACGATTTAACGAGGTCCCTGATTTAACACACAAATTTATTCAGGCTGGCCAGAATTACCAAAAATGTGTGGAAAAGAACCCCAATCTAACGAACCCCGATCCGAATGTAAAACCTGCCCAGATATAACAGATACATGTCATCACACCACAGAAGATGAATAATCGACTACAGTAAAATCTTTCAATTTACCAAGGAAGTTGTCATCAGTCCATTACAGTCATATACATGTAGCTAAAATAAATAGCACTGTTGTGGCCATCTGATCATCAATTTGCACAGATATGTATTTTATTATATTTCTTGAACAGTATTATGTAGCATGTGGATGTTTAAACGAGCTTGTATAATTCAGAAATAATTCATAAGGAAAATACAAAAGAAATGAATTTTTAATGAATGTCTCTAAATCCCGATGTAGATCAACTGGGGTTGATGAATCATTGAGTAAATTATTTGCCTTATTAGTATGCTTAACTTTTGATTACAATGAGGTTCTTTGTATTTATTGTTCATTTCACAAGCACAATAAAATATTCGCATGAGATCTTTATGGGATTTACATTTTACATTTTCTTTGCACTTATTGTTCATTTTACAAGCACAATAAATTATTCCCATGAGATCCTTATGGGATTTACAATGGCTCGCTAAAGTGACTTGCCATTCTAAATGCCCATAAAGATCTCCCACTCATATTTTATTTGCTACTTAAAGCTAGTTGTACTTACTGAAATTGTAGGACCAACTCCCAGCACTCTACTTCCCTGCGAGATTACCAAGGTTGTTTGTTTTAACCCAGATTTTCTTTGAGATACTTGTGGGGTTTCTGAAGACTACAAGGGAAAGAGGTATACAACAGTTTTAAAAGAAGAGCATAATTTCCACTATCATATTCTCCATCTCCTCTCAATGATCTGTATTTTGTTGGAGGCCTTATTTGTTAGAATTACAGTAATGAATATATATATATGTATATATTGTTGGTTGATTTCATGACAGTAAAAACTCTCACCTGTTGGTCTTGGTGGCACTTTGAGTTGCTTTACATGACGGAAGATTTCAACATCACCTGTTTTGTTGAAAGGAGTGGTAAGGTTTGTAAACAGTTTTTTAAATGAAACAATGTTTGGTACATAGTACATGTACCTGGTGTGTACATGTACACTGTGTATAGCACAGGGAATGAATTTCAAAAAGTTTAGGATTCACAGAATCAATTATGACAAATCAAGTCTGCTTACCTGCTTTTTAGCGTTTTGCAAGATGGTCATTATGTCCCCAATCGCGTTAATGCCTAACTCTTGCAACAACTCCTTTGTCAATTGGGAGAGGTGCTTTTGCTGCATCCTTTAAAAGAAATATCATAAGCTTAATAAAATACTTAAAACAAAAACAAAATTGTTTAAGCTAGCAATCCTGATCTCATTAGGTAAATTGGTGGTGAGGGCAACAATAACTATATAAAAATTCTCTTTATGTATTTTTTTAGATTATCGGTAAATTATAGATGACTGACATCATGAAGTACTATACCAAACTATCGTAAATTACTATTTCCCTTTGATAAATATGCATCCTAATTTTCAGTAACAGAGAAATTAATAACTATCGCAGTCTGATTGAAATTAAAATATTCACACCTGAAAACTATTATTAACATTTATATTTACATCTATATTTAAGTTTGCATCAGGTAAATGCAGGGCTTCTGATCAAGTAGTCTCTTGCAAAATTATAGGGGAATTTGGAAGCAAATATTGGGCCACTCTATATATTGGGCATGGGACGATAATTATAGGAAAAATATAGGACCTTTTATGCATTTACAACATGGGTAGATATACAAGGCTGCGAGTGGTCTTAAACACTGTTTTCCTCGAAAAATATTATCCACATTTTTAAACTGCAAAGGGGCTAGCCCATCACTGCAGATGTGAACAAATGGCCGCTCGTTCCCCTCATAGCCATTCCTAAGCATCACTCAAGAATATTTTCAAGTTTTTAGGACATTTTTGCCCTCTGGTCTGACCGAAGGGAGCCTAAATATTTCATAAACAAAGCTCACTGAACAAGCAAATCCCATTAAACACATACACAACTATTTGCTTATTTTTCTTGAATAAATCCAGCTAAAAATAAACATTGGTGTAGGCATTTATAAATGGCACTGTGAAACCATGAAAGCTTCAGCTTATTAAAGCTATATAAAATATTATTGAATATTAAAAATTTAGGAAATATAGCTCTAAATATTTATCGAAAAAACCGTACCTGTTTTCCTCAAACTTTTTTGCATATTGTTGCAAAAGGTCTTCTTCTAACCCTGCATTTAAAAAGAACTGTTTCCAATCCATGATCTACAGGGAAAAAACACATTCAAATCCTGTTAAATAATCGAGCAACTAGTTATAAACTTATTGAAGTTGACGAGTTTACATTCTTGAAATTCGCAAAATTTGTAAGAAGATAAACGTTTTTGAAGTGTCAGTCCTCAATAGCTTTTATACAAATTCTATCCTCATTCCTTTGTTCTGTCTTCCGACAATGGATGGCTCATTATTTATATCTAATTTGAATGATAATGGTATGATTTACCTCAAGGGCTAGAAGAACATCGAGCGAGCGAGCTTGCTTGTCCTGTGGCGAAAACTGCTGAACATTGAGACAGCAGATTACGTGCAAATCCTGTGGGTATGGCCCCTGGGTTTTTTGCCAAAAACACAAAAAGTGCTCCAATGCCCCGCGTGTGGGGCATGCCTTTGCTACAAATCCCCTGCTAAGCCCGTGGGTTGCCCTTGGGTTGCCCGGGGATCGACCCCTCAGGATGGCCGCTGATACCTGCATAAGAACAGAAGCTGTTTGAAGGATCTACGCAAGATGGGGAATTCTTCATACTTCCTTATTATTCCACTTATGTGCCAGCTGAGGGACCTAATATAAAGTATGTGTTCTTAATAATAATAATTGTTTTGTATCAATTTTGAATTCTGGCATGATCAATTCATGGAAGTGATAACAACAATTAATCAAGTGAGCAGTATCAAAAATCATTGGCCAAGAATTGTTTTTATAGGTGCTATTGTTTGGCATCAAATTATCATTGATTGCCAGCGAGCACTGTACAGTGTATGCACATGCTACATGTACCTTAACCTCCTACAGTAGAACCCCAGTAACTGGAACTCTCAAGGGAAACAAAAAGCAGTTCAGTATTATTTAGCAAGGATGGAATGAATATTAAGTTTTCCATATTAATAACAACTGATTTTTTAACATTTCAGTATACAGTGCAGCACAAATTAAACTTATCTCAACAGAAACTGTAACACAATTATGCATTCTTATGATAATATGTACAGTATTTTGAATGTATGTATGACTCTTAAGATTGGGAAATGATTGTCATACGTGATCTGTTCATTGCAGCTAATGGGATATCTCTGTGGGCATCAGTGACAGTTGTTGCAAGAACCAGAATTCAAGTGATCGGGTAAATTGTGATCAAAAGAAAAAAGCAACAGTTTGAGTTAGCGGAGAATTTGAATTATCTTAGTTTGAGTTAACCGAGTAAAAATGGCTGAAAAGTGAGGTCAACTCCAAGGAAAATGGGAGTTTAATTGTGCATGTAGTTTGAGTTAGTGGGGGAGTTAGAGTTATATGAGTTCAAGTTACTGGGGTTCTACTGCATATGCTGTGGTATATTACTCTAACTGATAACATTAGTGACTTGACCTGCAACTGCTAGTAACACAATTTGCATGCATTTTTTTTTTAAGAGACTGGCATCCTTGATCTTCTCAAGTACCCAGTTACAAGAAGCAAGAGCAATCCAGATGCCATTGAAGACATTCAGGATGGACTGCTCTACAGAAAGCATTTTGGAAATGACGGGTTTTTCAAGGGTGCATCAGATGAGAAAAAGAAGAGTGAAATCCACATTAGTTTTCAGATCAATACTGATGGGGTAGCCCTTTTCAGGTCTTCTAAATACAGCATTTGGCCAGTTTACCTTGTGGTTAATGAGCTTCCACCAAACTGCAGGTAGATATGCAAATACAATATCTTTGCTTACTCTTCTTCTTCTTCTTCTTAGTTTGAGCAAATAAATGCACTTTTGCATTGATATTATCTACATGATCCTTCCACTTTAGATCATCTCTTAGTGTAACATCTAGAACCTTAGCTGATTAGACAGTTCAAAGATGTTAATATCGACCTCAAGTCCAGGAATGTCTACTTCTGCTTTTCTGCACTTAATAATATACATGAAAAAATTACTCGATTCTGATTGGCTGAGAACAGTGCAGTTTTTCCTTAACACAGTGCAGAAAAGAGGTAATTGAATGCAAAAAAGGTAATAAATAAAGCAACCATTCTGATTGGTCAATGAACAAAGAAGTTCACAGATAGCCAATAAAATCTTTTGTTTTCAAATCAAGTGCGCACCCTGGATGGCGCGATTATGGCACAATTTTTTCTTGGTTTTTTCTTGGTTTAGCACCGCACAAAACTGAGAAGAGAGTTCAGAGTCCGTAAAGTTCAAAACATCCTTCACACAAATTTTTTCATGTAGATTATTAATAGGTAATCATACAGTTTTTCTTGTTCAATTTGTAATTAATTTGCACTTGTGAGTTTTTCAAAAAGCAAAATTGCACTCACCGAAGCGGCTCGTGCAATTTCAGGTTTTTGGCAAACTCACTTGTGCAAATTAATTCCAATTTGAACTCGAAACCACATGATTACCTATACTAAGTGAGTTCAGTTGGAAGTTGTTGGTGTTTGACTTATTTAGATCATGATCCACTGTGGCTTATAAATGATTTGCGCCAAACTTTGGAACAATTTCCGAGACTGTTGTGTCATCAGCAAATTTCTGTCATCAGCAAATTTCCACATATAGCCCTTAATGCGCGGGCTGCAAATGACACAACATAAACGCAAGCTGATCACACTACCTCATCCACCAAGGTGTTTACATGTAAATGAGAATGACTGTGGGGAGACCTACATGTACATGTATTACACGTAAAAAGCTGGGGGTTAATTGTCATGCACTGGAAAGGTAACACCCAACAACTTTTTGCCAACTTTCCCTCAGCCAAAATGGAACAGCAGCACACAATATTTGCATGTACTGACATCATTGCCAACATGCATTAGAACTGCATTTGTTGCACCATTATATCCTTGATAACAATTGGTGATTTTTTTAGGTTTGCAAGATCCAATAGCATTTTTCTTGGATTATGGTTTGGATATAAGAAGCCAGATTTCCTGACATTTCTGCAGCCCTTGAGCAAAGAGTTCCAAGATATTTACTCACAAGGTATTTTTAAATTATATTTGCCATTCGCTATATATAAACTTGATTTACATGTACTGTGTGTTATAATTCTCAAGATATTTGTGCATGATATTGAATTATCATTGTTATACATGTAACTGCATAATTTGCTTTTGCAGGTATGGAAATTACCAACAGTGAAGGAAAAGACCTCACATTGTTAGGAATTTTATTGTGTGCAACAATGGATGCACCAGCTAAGTGCCTGATGCAAAATTTTGTTCAGTACAATGGCTTTAGTGGGTGTCCTTATTGTCTGGATCAGGGAACTACTGTCAAGACAAGTGCTAAAGGCCACACACATGCCTATCCATTTGACAGAGAAAATCCATCTAAGGGTTATGGAACTGAGCGAACTCATGAAAACACTATGCAGCATGCCTATGATGCTCATAAATCAAGACTAGAGAAGAAATATGCGCCTGTTTGTGGAGTTAAGGGGTATTCGTGGTTTATGTTTATCCCAGGATTTGACATTATTAAAGGCATTGCTGTAGATTATATGCACTGTGTTCTTCTGGGGATGACCAAGACCCTTATGACATTGTGGTTCGACAAATCACACACAGCTGAATTCTGGAACATAAGTAAAAGAGTGGAAGAGGTTGACAGGCGTTTGCTCAATATTACCCCACCTAATTGCATTTCATGAGCACCAAGAAGCATATCCAAAGATTATGCTCATTGGAAAGCATCCGAGTTTCGGTCATTCCTGTTCTTTTATGGTATCCCATGTCTCTGGAACATTCTACCAGATGAATACTTCCAGCATTTCCTCTTGCTTGCTGAAGCAATTTGGTTGTTAAATCAAAGCTCAATATCGCCTCAGTGCTTGGAGAAAGCTGGCAATATTTTGCGTCACTTCTGCTTGCGGATTGAAGCATTATATGGAAGTCGTTATCAAACCTTTAATGTTCATTGCCTCTTGCATCTTCAAGATTGTGTTCAGAATATAGGCCCTTTGTGGGCTTGCTCTTGCTTCTGGTTTGAAGATTATAATGGTGACTTGAGAAAGCTCTTCCACGGTACACAGAAAGTTGAGCTGCAAATTGCATTTTCTGTTTGCATACAACAGAAGATCCCAGAACTGATACCTCTCCTCCCAAGTGGCTCATCAAGTAAAGAGTTTTATGACGACACGACATGGGGACGACACTTATTGAAATGGAAACGTGAGAAGATATTTGACAATGTATTTACACTTGGTTTGATGTCACCTGCTGTGTTAGATCCAACCTTAAGTAGTTATATCGAAAGCAAAATGGGCCATATAGCCAGTGTGTTCACCTTTAAATGAATTCAAGTAAACAGAGATGTAATTCACAGCAAAGCCTATCTGAACATTGTGCGAAGGAACAGCTACACTGTTTTTGTGAATGATGCTGGACTTGTTGAAGTCAAGTTTTATCTCAAGGTGTATGTACAGTGTCCAAATGTTCTGTTTTGCTCAGGTGTATGCGCTTGCAAGGGTCCACATTATTATGGTGTTACTGATTGTCGTCTTAAACCAGCTACAGACATCGCAATTTCTTCGGACCAGTTCACTCACTGTAATGTGGGTCACATTATTCCTGCCAGGAGAGAGGAGTGCAAAAATGTGATTTTTCCAGTAACAAGTGTGAAAGCCCTATGTGTTCTGGTTGACTGCAGTCATAAGCAATGCGTGTTTGTCTGTAAATTACCAAATAGATATGAGAAGGACTGAACAATTGGAACTCTGAAAGCCTGTCCATGCAAGTTAGAACCCAGCTAGGGTTAAAGTTAGTAATAGTATTAAAGGAGCTATGTCATGGTTTGTGAATCTTTCATGGTTTAGCCTCAATTTTTCAATTTTGTCATTTGTAATCCGTGTCAATCTTCGCCATCCTTAACCATCCTTGTTCCATTTTGGTTTATTATTACCTCATTGGTGTTTTTCTCAAAGTAGTATTTTAAGGTTTCCTTTAACTTAAAGGTGATTTTGTACATCGTAGAAAATTACACATAACTCTTGACAATGCTCCTTTAACTCTTTTTCTTGCTCTTAACAAGGTTATTCATTTTCTTTTGCTCATGTAAAAGCATTTTCACTGGACATTTCAGGTGTGTTATTTTTAAAATTAACCCATTGGCTCCCAGAACGTTTTGCAAAAAACTAATTTTTTGGACATTTTGTAGATTTCAGGCTGGATATGGGCCAAAGTAGCTCCAGTCTACTCCAAGAGGCATTAACATGAAAGCCTGCTTCCCTTAGTTTCCACTAGCATCAGAATTAACGACATTTTTGCTCATGCATGCGCAGAATCAAAATTCTGTGACCTTTGTCTTTGTAGTCTTTTTGTTTTCTTTCATTTTTTGCCTCTCCTTTTTCTCCTTTTCTTACCTTTTTCCTGCAGTGATTGCCTTTTGCAGGGCTTGCCTCCAGTTTGAAAAAATCTGAGAAAGCATCATCAAGGCAGGCAATTTTTACCCTGGAGTAGCCACGTGTACTCATAGGAAATTTAGCTCTGAGTTTTTCACTCAAATTTCTGAGCATTTTCATATATATTTCAGGCTACATTGAGTCAATCACTCTGATCTGGGTATCATCGGAAAGATCTTTTCCTCTTGCAGAAGTTAAGTACTGTACAGATGATGCCAATTTTGGTCAAAGGCAATGACATCAGAAGTCGAACAAGGGCCAAGGCTCATCACAGGCAGTTATGGGCGGTGCGGGAGTCAATGGGTTAAGTAACAGTTGAAAGAGAAACATGCCTGGTCTTGTAAGTGCTGGTGTGCATTTTACCACTGTAGTGATTTTGATAGTATTAATGCCATTAAGTGGTCAACATTTGGGAAATGTACACTTTTTTACAACCAAATGGTGTTGTATGCAATGGGAGCTGCAAAAACCATCACTTTACATGTAGGGTTTGGTATTGTGACTGACTTTTAATTGTAATGTTATACATTGCTTTAACAGTATGAATTTTACTGTTAATACGATGTAATCAAGTGGGCGATGTAGCAGCTATTGTAAGGTCTCACATGAATGGCTTGTGAGGCATTGAAAGGACAACGGAATGAACAACAGAAGCAATGCCCCTAGCCCCAAAACAATAAAAGCTGCTAACAATGAAAATAATTGCAAGCTAACAGGAGCTGCTACACTGCCGAATCAAGGGGAATTATGTTTATATAAAGCACTTTTTGGTTATTTCTAATGCTCTAACATTTTCTACCGGTTATTTTGTAGGAACTGATGAAACATTTTTATTGTTAGTGGTACCTTGAATGTATAAAAGTATTTTAATTTATATTTTATAATCCCCTGCCTGTATCATACACTGGTATCAATCATTCAATGCAATTCCTGCTTATTGTTTAATACTTAGTTATTTCTTTATTTTACACATACAAACAAGTATACTTAAAGTATACTTTACTTTAGACAGTCACTCACCAGCTATGTTAAAATAAAGAAGAGGTATACTTGAAGTATACTTTTACATTTTAAGTATAAATGAAGTACATTAACAAAATGTACTTCATTTATACTTTTCTTCTTTAAGTATAAATGAAGTATACTTCAACTGTCCTTTTTTTTTTGGGAAGTAAAGACTAAGTATACTAAAAGTATACTTAAAGTATACTGCATTCTTGCAAGGGATGGTATTGGTGAGCCTCTACATGTTTTTCAATGGAAGGTGTCAGCAAGTCCAGCCAGTTGAGCAGTCTCTGGCCCATGAGAAGCAGTGAGGGTGGTTCACCCGTGGTAGGATGAGGCATGGTCTGATAAATCGATAAATGATTTGCAATAACAGCATCTACATCTGCATCAGTAAGGTGGGCTTGTTTAATTGCCGATTTCAAAATCTGTACAACATGGTGTAGTATTCCATTGGTGACACAAAATTGTTCAAATTCTGTAAGAGTGAGTTGGGGCCCATTGTCTGACAATAATTTTTGGCAAACCTTGTGTATCAATATCCAACGGGGTCGTCACACAGAGCAATAGCTTTTACCTTTTAATCTCACGCTAGAATGAACAGCGAAGTCTCACAATCAACATGTCTTCCTTTGTCTTACACGTGTAAAAAATGCGCCCGCGATACAAATAAGTGGTAAATTCGCGAAATCATCTAGGCAACTAGTTAATCATTGAACGGCCAAATAATTACAATTTTTTGATTCTTAACATCCCCCTCCCGAATGCAATTGATGCATTCGCTGACTAATAACATGCCTGAAATCTTAAGTCTACGGGGGAGCATGACCACTGTCATAGACTGTTTCTCAATAGCGATCAAAGTTCAAATCATCTTCTCTAATCAATGTTTCAATCAAGGTTCAATGACTCTCACTCCTCAGCACTGTCTTCTACATACTCCAGTGGACACAGGCGATGGACAGGACGCAAGTACTCCTTGTTCTTTGCCTTGACTTTTACAACTCTCACTAGACCATCATCACCAGGGTATGCTTCAATCACATGGCCGAGAAGCCACTCTCCTCTGCTGGCGTTTGGCTCTACAATCAGTACAACATCACCTTCCTTCAAATTCTGTCTTGGATGAAACCATTTCTTCCTGACATTAAGGTTGGGCAGGAACTCCTTTCTCCAACGTTTCCAGAACTGTCCTAGAAGCTGCTGCACGTGGTGCTACCGTTTCCTAGGGTTGTAGGTTTGTTCATGGTCAAGTGCCTCTGGGGCAAACGGTCCTCCAATCTCTCCAACAAGAAAATGGTGTGGAGTGAGCGGCGAAGGGTCATTGGGATCTGAGCTGACATAAGTAATTGGTCTGGAATTCAACAATCGCTCCGCACCACAGATTGCTGTGTGAAGCTCTTCGTCAGTAACGTCTGCGTCTCCAAGGATAGCTTTGATTGCCTTCTTTGCACTCTTGATCAATGCTTCAAATACACCACCAAAATGGGGGGCACACCGAGGGTTAAACTTCCAGTCAATTGGGTGATATTTGCTGGTTTATTGCGTGATTCTGTCGGTGTCAAGGGCCTCCACCAACTCTCGAAGTTCGCACTCTGCTCCAACGAAGTTGGTTCCGTTGTCAGAGATAACATAGGTTGGTGTCCCCCTCCTTGACGTCATCCGGGTAAATGCGTTAATAAACGAGTCAGTGTCTAATGAGTAGGACATTTCCAAATGCACAGCTCGGGTTGTAAGGCAAGTGAAAAGACACAGGTAACGTTTGGCTCTTGTCCTACCACGTCCTTGCTTCGTCAAGAATGGACCTCCATAATCGACACCAACTTTTTCAAATGCCCTTAGTGAAGACTGCAATCTCGATTTGGGTAAGGGGGCCATCATCTGATGGCCTATTTTCGTGGTGAAACGACGTCTACATTCAGCACAAGCCTCGGTTACGTTTCGTACCATGCGCCTTCCTTTAACAATCCAGAAGAGGCTTCTTAACTCAGTTAGAACTTGCTCTACTCCAGCCCCATGGCCGAGTCTTTCATGGGCGTCAGCGATAACTAGTTTTGTTACAGGGTGGTCCTTTGGTAGTAGGATCGGGTGCTTTGTATCATATGGAAGCTCATCTGCAAAACGCAAGCGTCCATCCATTCGAAGTAACCTATCACCATCACTCTTAGGGTTCAATTGAGTCAGGGAACCCTCGTTTTCTCCACCAGGGAAGGCTTGGGCTTGGGCTTGGGCTTGGGCTTGCTTAA